GGTTCAGGGTTTAGGGTTTCACGTTTAGGGCTTAGGGCTTAGGGATTAGGGTTTCGGGTTTGGGGTTCAGGGTTCAGGGTTCAGGGTTCAAGGTTTAGGGTTTAGGGCTTAGGGTTTAGGTTGCTTCCCAGACCTTCCACTATCGTTAACTAATGAGTCTACCGTAAACTATCTTCGGAGTCCTACCATAAATTTAAGGCACATGTACCTAAGCCACCTAAACCCTAAACTTTTACCTTACCTAAGTAAGGGATATTGGAAGGTCTGGGTTGCTTTTAGGACATTCGGTTTGGGATTTTGGGGTTCCGGGCCTTCGTGTGTAGATTTCAGGGCTTACCCTAGACCCTAAACCGTGCTTAGGGTTTCTAGGGGCCAGGATTTCATGGCGTGGGGCTTTGGCTTTTCTCACCAGCTTCGGGATTTCAGGCTTGATGATGTTTCGGCCTTATGGGTTTGAAGCTTAAGATATGGGTAGTTCTCTAAATTAGAGTCCCTCTTGAGGTCCCCAATATAGTACGGCACCCTTATGAACGAACCCCAAAAGGGATCCTAATTTAGAGAACTTGTAGGCTTGACGGCATGCTTGTCCTGGGCTGAGTTGGTGGAGTACTGCCTTTTGGCGGCTTCACCCCATGTCGCTCGGGTCCGTGACGTACCCCAAAGCTAACGTCCTAAAGGTTCGTGCTTAACTTGTGTGAGCTGTTCAACCGTCTTCCCCGCTTCTCCTCAGCAAAGGTGGGGTTTCACAGGCGCATAGAACTTGCTGTGCCTGGCACCACAGGCAACCTGGAGATGTGATCGGAAACATCATCGATCTTCATGTCGTTGCATCTCTTCCGGATCAGCCTATCACGGCCTGGTCTTGTAGCTTTCAGTGAACGACGGGGTATCCTCCTAAACCCTAAACTCTAAACCCTTAAGCCCTCAATGAGGCAGAGTTTCCGGATTCGTTTTTCAAAGATTCACCTCCAGTACGCTCTGCAAAAGACCCTCCTTCTGGCATGAAACGCACGCCGTCCTGAACAAGCGTCAATCGGAGACTCAGCTCGTAATGCTCATGCTGTTAAAGGCAGAAAAGGAACCTTATTGTGGTGTTTGTATCTTGATCTTGATATAGAGGAAGTTGAGAATGTCGATGCCAGATACTGCGACGCCGATACGTCTGCGTCAGTCAGGTTGAGGACGAGCTCGACTCACGGGTCACGTCCGCAAAGGTCGCGTCATTCGTTCTCCATCCACTTCAGGGCTTCAAGGCTTCGCTCTATCTCTCTCTCTCTCTCCATCTCCATCTCCATTACAGATAACTTCAGATAACTGTGACAGCACACAACTATGCCTAAAGCCGAAAACCCTGAACCGCGAGGCCCTGCCCCTGAGACCCTAAAGGTTACTGTCTTGTCAGAGCCAAGCGTTAGCCTGGTAGCCCTATAAACCCTAAGCCCTAAACCCTGAACCCTAAACCCTGAACCCTAAACCCTGAACCCTGAACCCTGAACCCAAAACCCTAAACCCTGAACCCAAAACCCTCACAACACTGCCAAGGTTGCCATTCCACGCTCGTCGGCACTTCCCACCAGTCGGTTGTCCTGTTTGCGAGCAGGCTAGGGTTCAAGGTTGAGCGTTTTGGGTTTAGGGTTGAGGGCTTAGGGTTCAGGGTTTAGGGTTGAGGGTTTAGGGTTGAGGGTTTAGGGTTGAGGGTTTAAGGTTGTGGGTTTAGAGTTTAGGCTTTAGGGTTCCAGCTGAGGGACTTTCAATATGCCTTTACTTTACAGAAGCCTCAGAAGAACCGTTTGGCGCCCTTACAAAACCTCAAGCCGATCAACCTAATACAGGGGCCTTAATAATTAGAATAGGCTTTTGGGGCCCACTATACTATAGTTGTATAAGGAACCTCCCAAAGTAGTATTGGTAATCATTAAGGCCCCTTTATTACCCAAACAGGCTGCTGTGGTATTGCCGGCAGTTTGTCTCATTCCAAACAGAGATAGCTTTCAAGTTGTGTTGACCCCACCACACTTCGCATAAGCATTTGCAAAACAAAGGGCCCATGGCAGCCCCCCAAAAAAGCCGTATCGTGCACCCTAAACCCTAAACCCTGAACCCTAAACGTGCACCTGAACCCCGCAATTTTAGCCGCGAGTCCCAGATCCAGACATGAATCCCAAGGCCATCGGGCTTATGGTTTAGCTCAAAGTTAGGGTTTAGGGTTTAGGGTCTAGGGTTTAGGGTTGAGGGAACCCCCAAAATCCTAAAGCCATGAAGCGCTGGGAGATTCGGGCTCTGGCGGTCACCAGATCTGCGATGTGCATGTGGGGAGTTCTCTAAAAGAGGGTCCCTTTTAGGGTCCGTTTTATTATTATTAACGGACATCAGTCGGTCGTTCGCATGAAGCACTCATTGGTGCACGTGAAACATGAATGGAAACAAGTACCGAGAATCTAGAATTTGTCAAGAACGACAGTCAAGCCTTGCACCAGCTCAGCGAGCGCAGTGCGCCAAGATGCAATGACAGAGGCATCACAAGCTACCACGCGCTTGCAGCGTCTATGAATCTTATCAGGATACTTCAGGAAATTAGTGGAAACCCCGCAGAAGTGGCAAGCAGGGACATCTTCGGCCCAAGCAGGGGCAACAAAGTGGCAAAGCTTATGCGGCGAACAGTCAAGGAAATGAAGATTAGTGTCCAGAATTTCGCGCAATTTTTCGAAGAAGGCCTTCTTGGATTTGAACTGCAACTTAGCCGTGGCGGCGGGAGAAAAGAAGGAACGGAATGTGTGGACATCTTGCTCTTTCCAGAAGGCAAGAGTTCTCTCAGAAACACTACAAAGCGTAGTTTCTTTACCAATGTTCAAGGCAGTCTCTTCCCAAGGTAGGTGCCTGCGCTTGCGTTGACTGCATCTAATCCATGTGCTGGTGAGAGGGTCAAGGGAATAATGACATTTTGATGCTGGTCAACCGACTGCAAGAATTCTTGCGTGTTAAGCAAGTGATTTTTGAACTTCAAATTTCTTTCTGCAGCAAGTTCAACATGCTTGCGCACTAGTTTGACACAAGTATCCGCGATGCTCCATTGCAACGGGAGTCCAAAAAATGTTACCGAAAACACGAGAAACTGGCATTTTATTACACCACAAAATTTCAGTCCCAGGGTCAATGTTAAAGTCCTCAAAACCAAAATCCTCCGGTAGGGCATTACTGAGAAGGTCTAGGGAGAGGACTCGGAACTTCCAGAGTGCAGCACCTACATTGGGGCATCTAGCACAGAAAATGGCTCTATTGCCACCCATTTGCAAGAACACCAGGAAAACATGCATCCATGAACTGAAGGGGACTTTACCATCAAAGTCCACAACGGTCCAGTTCTTCCAGAAGCTGAAAAGGGCATTGTAATCTTGTCTTGCCGCACCCCAACGGTGCAGAGAAGACAATTTCGCAGGTGGCTTCCAATGCAGTGGGAGCGTCCGTTTTATAAGGGTGCCGTACTATACTGGGGACCTAAAAAAGGACCCTAATTTAGAGAATTACCCATATGATGACTTTACAATGGTTATCGGTCTAGGGTTTAGGGTTTAGGGTTTATCATTCTTAGTTAAAGGACACTACAGGTGGGGAGTTTAGGGTATCTAGGGCTTCTATGAGGCTTTTATAAGGTATATAGACCTTCTAGAAGGCTCCTTTATAGCGGTAGCTACCCACCTGAAAATGTCCTAGACTTAATTGTAATACCTTACGGCCTGGGGTCAGCGTTTGGCTTCAATCATCCTGCGACCATCAAGCACGAATCAGACGACACCAGACTCCACTTTAACATGGCAGAGAAGATTTCGTTACGGGTCTAGGCCCTAAACCCTAAACCCTAAACCCCTAAGGGTTTAGGGCCCACCACCAGACCCGACACCCCCATAAACCCTAAGCCCCCACGCCCCTAAATCCGAAACTGTAGGAAAGCTACCGGCAAGTCAGGTTTCAGGGCTGCCGTGTAGTGTTAGGGTTTAGGGTTTAGGGATTTAGGGTTTAGGGGTTCTGGGTTTCGGGGGGTGTGCTTAGCCGCGGCCAGTCGCAGCCCCCTGAACCCCAATCCCTCCACGCTGACCCATAAACGCCAGCCCTTAAGCACTACCATGAGTTGCAATGCAACATCTCTATCGCTCTATTCACGTTTGTTGTGACGATCACTACAGTATTCTTGCTCTCCTTCTTTACTTTTATACCACTGACCCTAAGCCTCAAACGCTGGCCTGTGTCAGTGGCTGCAGGCGACGAACTTTGCACACCTGTCGCGCTTGAGATGCTGGCTCAGGTAATCACACAAGGATTGCCATGAGGGTCAAAATATATTCTGTAAGGTTACCCAGTTTCAATACGATTTTCTATAATAAGGGTTTCTCTGAAGGGTAAACACTAATCACACCCTGGTGCTAGTGCTGTGCGTGGCCTCCTGCTCCGGTGCTCACGGCGCAGGGCGAGGGCGAGGCTGTGAATGCGGTGCTGGGGCGGTGCCTCCCACGTCTGCGGGTGCTGCACCCACTAGTTGCACGGCCCCGTCGGCCTCCTCCTGTGTCTCGAACCAGAGGACACCAAAGGTCAGGCTGTGAGCGGAGCCAACCACCTCGCACCACGTCCGCCAGCAGGTCGTAGAAGCCCAGTGGAAAACTTCCTCCGAGGGCAGGCCAACAGCCAAAGGCGAGTCCTCATAGTGCATGCGCTTGCTGTGCTTGCCACCTCCTTTGACTTGCCACCCGTCGTGGTTTCGGGTTTAGGGGCCAGGGTTTAGGGTTTGGGCTTTAGGGTTCAGGGTTTGGGGTTAGGGTCGATGGGTCTTTGAAGGCCTGTATAAGTCCTGAAAACCTCAACCCAACGCCCTGTACTCAGATCTCCGCAGACTCTCGAACTCCTTCAGGGACGCTGATACTGAGGGAAACGCTTCAGAATGTTCTTAATATTATAATAAGGGAACTTAATGGTAATATTATAATAAGGGAACTTAATGGTACGTAGGGTTTGAGAGTCCAGCTAACCCGCAAGCTCCACTTGCAAAACCGTCTCTGTTGCTGCGTCTCAAACGCTAAACCCTCCACAAGTATCCCCGAACCCCAAAACGCTCAACCATAAACCCTAAACTCCGAACCCCCAAACCAGAAACACAACACCAAATCTTGAATCGGCATTCCGGAATCGCGAATCCCCGAAGGCAAGAAGCACTCCAGACTCGTTGATTCAAAGGCCTGAGCAAAATGAGGGTTTCCCTAAACCCTAAACCCTAAACCCGGGGTTTAGGGTTTAGGGTTTAGGGTTTCCTTGCAGCATACATGATGCTCATAGATGTATAGGTACTACAAGAGAATACTATTCATTATTCAGATCTCTACATTACACCGGTCGCCCTAGAGATAAATCCGAACATCCATTTTACTCATGGAGCAGGCTAGTTTTAGGACGCCCATAGTCACGCAACAAAGAGAACATCACCAAGATCCCGAGGGAGCCTTCTACATCCATTGTACAGTAACCCTAAACCCTGAACCCTGAACCCTAAATCCTGAACCCTAGACCCTAAACCCTGACCCCTAAACCCTAAACCCTGAACCCTAAACCCTGAACCCTGAACCAAAAACCCTGAACCCTAGACCCTGAACCCTGAACCATAAACCCTGAACCCTAAACCCTAAACCCTAAACCCCAAAGCCTATACCCTAAACCCTGAACCCCAAAGCCCAAAGCCCTACTTCGCATCACGGGAACCTCGGGGTTGCCATCTTCATCCGAGAGAGTTACCTTGGCTTTGGCAGAAGCTTGGGGTTTAGGGCTTAGGGGTTTGGGGTTTTAGGGGTTTAGGGCTTAGGGCTTAGGGCTTAGGGGTTTAGGGTTCTAGGGGGGGGGTTAGGGGTTTAGGGGGGTTTAGGGCTTAGGGGTTTAGGGCTTTAGGGGGTTTTGGGTGTAGGGGTTTGGGGTTTAGGGGTTTAGGGATTCAGAGGTTTGGGGCTCATTCCTTGAGGGTTTACAGGTTGAGTCCTTCGCGGGCTGGAGAGTTTGGCTGTCGGGTTTATGTAGGGGTCTTGATAACTAGAATAGGGCTCTGGGCTCCTTTGGAGTATACGGATACTAAGGGACCCTGGGGAGTAGTACTGTTGATGATATAAATCCTGCATTACCTTAAGGACCCGAAACTCTGGGAATTATG